GATATCTCAGCTCTGGAAGGGTCTAGAGCCTCCATTTTTGCACTCAGGTTTAAGTCTCATGGCCCTCTATCAGAATCCAGAGTTTTGAGAAGATTGGAGAAACTTAATTTTTCGCCCCCAAAAAAACGAAAGGGGTACCACTGTCGTTTTTTTTTGGGTCGAATTTTTGAGTTTCGATATCTCAGCTCTGGAAGGGTCTAGAGCCTCCATTTTTGCACTCAGGTTTAAGTCTCATGGCCCTCTATCAGAATCCAGAGTTTTGAGAAGATTGGAGAAACTTCATTTTTCGCCCGAAAAAAAAAAAAAAAACGAAAGGGGTACCACTGTCGTTTTTTTTTTTCGGGTCGAAATTTTGAGTTTCGATATCTCAGCTCTGGAAGGGTCTAGAGCCTCCATTTTTGCACTCAGGTTTAAGTCTCATGGCCCTCTATCAGAATCCAGAGTTTTGAGAAGATTGGAGAAACTTAATTTTTCGCCCAAAAAAAAAAAACGAAAGGGGTACCACTGTCGTTTTTTTTTGGGTCGAATTTTTGAGTTTCGATATCTCAGCTCTGGAAGGGTCTAGAGCCTCCATTTTTGCACTCAGGTTTAAGTCTCATGGCCCTCTATCAGAATCCAGAGTTTTGAGAAGATTGGAGAAACTTAATTTTTCGCCCCCAAAAAAAACGAAAGGGGTACCACTGTCGTTTTTTTTTGGGTCGAATTTTTGAGTTTCGATATCTCAGCTCTGGAAGGGTCTAGAGCCTCCATTTTTGCACTCAGGTTTAAGTCTCATGGCCCTCTATCAGAATCCAGAGTTTTGAGAAGATTGGAGAAACTTAATTTTTCGCCCCAAAAAAAAAACGAAAGGGGTACCACTGTCGTTTTTTTTTTGGGTCGAAATTTTGAGTTTCGATATCTCAGCTCTGGAAGGGTCTAGAGCCTCCATTTTTGCACTCAGGTTTAAGTCTCATGGCCCTCTATCAGAATCCAGAGTTTTGAGAAGATTGGAGAAACTTAATTTTTCGCCCCCAAAAAAAAACGAAAGGGGTACGTACCACTGTCGTTTTTTTTTTTGGTCGAATTTTTGAGTTTCGATATCTCAGCTCTGGAAGGGTCTAGAGCCTCCATTTTTGCACTCAGGTTTAAGTCTCATGGCCCTCTATCAGAATCCAGAGTTTTGAGAAGATTGGAGAAACTTAATTTTTCGCCCCAAAAAAAAAAACGAAAGGGGTACCACTGTCGTTTTTTTTTGGGTCGAATTTTTGAGTTTCGATATCTCAGCTCTGGAAGGGTCTAGAGCCTCCATTTTTGCACTCAGGTTTAAGTCTCATGGCCCTCTATCAGAATCCAGAGTTTTGAGAAGATTGGAGAAACTTAATTTTTCGCCTGAAAAAAAAAAAAAAACGAAAGGGGTACCACTGTCGTTTTTTTTTTGGGTCGAAATTTTGAGTTTCGATATCTCAGCTCTGGAAGGGTCTAGAGCCTCCATTTTTGCACTCAGGTCTAAGTCTCATGGCCCTCTATCAGAATCCAGAGTTTTGAGAAGATTGGAGAAACTTAATTTTTCGCCCGAAAAAAAAAACGAAAGGGGTACCACTGTCGTTTTTTTTTTCGGGTCGAAATTTTGAGTTTCGATATCTCAGCTCTGGAAGGGTCTAGAGCCTCCATTTTTGCACTCAGGTTTAAGTCTCATGGCCCTCTATCAGAATCCAGAGTTTTGGGAAGATTGGAGAAACTTAATTTTTCGCCCCAAAAAAAAAAAAAAAAACGAAAGGGGTACCACTGTCGTTTTTTTTTTTGGGTCGAATTTTTGAGTTTCGATATCTCAGCTCTGGAAGGGTCTAGAGCCTCCATTTTTGCACTCAGGTTTAAGTCTCATGGCCCTCTATCAGAATCCAGAGTTTTGAGAAGATTGGAGAAACTTAATTTTTCGCCCCAAAAAAAAACGAAAGGGGTACCACTGTCGTTTTTTTTTTGGGTCGAATTTTTGAGTTTCGATATCTCAGCTCTGGAAGGGTCTAGAGCCTCCATTTTTGCACTCAGGTTTAAGTCTCATGGCCCTCTATCAGAATCCAGAGTTTTGAGAAGATTGGAGAAACTTAATTTTTCGCCCGAAAAAAAAAAAAAAACGAAAGGGGTACCACTGTCGTTTTTTTTTTCGGGTCGAAATTTTGAGTTTCGATATCTCAGCTCTGGAAGGGTCTAGAGCCTCCATTTTTGCACTCAGGTCTAAGTCTCATGGCCCTCTATCAGAATCCAGAGTTTTGAGAAGATTGGAGAAACTTAATTTTTCGCCCAAAAAAAAAAACGAAAGGGGTACCACTGTCGTTTTTTTTTTGGGTCGAATTTTTGAGTTTCGATATCTCAGCTCTGGAAGGGTCTAGAGCCTCCATTTTTGCACTCAGGTTTAAGTCTCATGGCCCTCTATCAGAATCCAGAGTTTTGAGAAGATTGGAGAAACTTAATTTTTCGCCCAAAAAAAAAAACGAAAGGGGTACCACTGTCGTTTTTTTTTTGGGTCGAATTTTTGAGTTTCGATATCTCAGCTCTGGAAGGGTCTAGAGCCTCCATTTTTGCACTCAGGTTTAAGTCTCATGGCCCTCTATCAGAATCCAGAGTTTTGAGAAGATTGGAGAAACTTAATTTTTCGCCCAAAAAAAAAAAAAAACGAAAGGGGTACCACTGTCGTTTTTTTTTCGGGTCGAAATTTTGAGTTTCGATATCTCAGCTCTGGAAGGGTCTAGAGCCTCCATTTTTGCACTCAGGTCTAAGTCTCATGGCCCTCTATCAGAATCCAGAGTTTTGAGAAGATTGGAGAAACTTAATTTTTCGCCCGAAAAAAAAAACGAAAGGGGTACCACTGTCGTTTTTTTTTTTCGGGTCGAAATTTTGAGTTTCGATATCTCAGCTCTGGAAGGGTCTAGAGCCTCCATTTTTGCACTCAGGTTTAAGTCTCATGGCCCTCTATCAGAATCCAGAGTTTTGAGAAGATTGGAGAAACTTAATTTTTCGCCCCCCAAAAAAAACGAAAGGGGTACCACTGTCGTTTTTTTTTTGGGTCGAATTTTTGAGTTTCGATATCTCAGCTCTGGAAGGGTCTAGAGCCTCCATTTTTGCACTCAGGTTTAAGTCTCATGGCCCTCTATCAGAATCCAGAGTTTTGAGAAGATTGGAGAAACTTAATTTTTCGCCCCCAAAAAAAAAAAAAACGAAAGGGGTACCACTGTCGTTTTTTTTTTTCGGGTCGAAATTTTGAGTTTCGATATCTCAGCTCTGGAAGGGTCTAGAGCCTCCATTTTTGCACTCAGGTTTAAGTCTCATGGCCCTCTATCAGAATCCAGAGTTTTGAGAAGATTGGAGAAACTTAATTTTTCGCCCAAAAAAAAAAAAACGAAAGGGGTACCACTGTCGTTTTTTTTTTGGGGTCGAATTTTTGAGTTTCGATATCTCAGCTCTGGAAGGGTCTAGAGCCTCCATTTTTGCACTCAGGTTAAGTCTCATGGCCCTCTATCAGAATCCAGAGTTTTGAGAAGATTGGAGAAACTTAATTTTTCGCCCCAAAAAAAAAAAACGAAAGGGGTACCACTGTCGTTTTTTTTTTGGGTCGAATTTTTGAGTTTCGATATCTCAGCTCTGGAAGGGTCTAGAGCCTCCATTTTTGCACTCAGGTTTAAGTCTCATGGCCCTCTATCAGAATCCAGAGTTTTGAGAAGATTGGAGAAACTTAATTTTTCGCCCCAAAAAAAAAAACGAAAGGGGTACCACTGTCGTTTTTTTTTTTGGGTCGAATTTTTGAGTTTCGATATCTCAGCTCTGGAAGGGTCTAGAGCCTCCATTTTTGCACTCAGGTCTAAGTCTCATGGCCCTCTATCAGAATCCAGAGTTTTGAGAAGATTGGAGAAACTTAATTTTTCGCCCAAAAAAAAAAAAAAAACGAAAGGGGTACCACTGTCGTTTTTTTTTCGGGTCGAAATTTTGAGTTTCGATATCTCAGCTCTGGAAGGGTCTAGAGCCTCCATTTTTGCACTCAGGTCTAAGTCTCATGGCCCTCTATCAGAATCCAGAGTTTTGAGAAGATTGGAGAAACTTAATTTTTCGCCCGAAAAAAAAAACGAAAGGGGTACCACTGTCGTTTTTTTTTTCGGGTCGAAATTTTGAGTTTCGATATCTCAGCTCTGGAAGGGTCTAGAGCCTCCATTTTTGCACTCAGGTTTAAGTCTCATGGCCCTCTATCAGAATCCAGAGTTTTGAGAAGATTGGAGAAACTTCATTTTTCTCCCAAAAAAAAAACGAAAGGGGTAACACTGTCGTTTTTTTTTTTGGGTCGAATTTTTGAGTTTCGATATCTCAGCTCTGGAAGGGTCTAGAGTCTCTGGAACGGTCTAGAGTCTCCATTTTTGCACTCAGGTCTAAGTCTCATGACCATCTATCAGAATCCAGAGTTTCTAGAAGATCAGAGAAACTTTCTTTTTTCTTTTTGCATTTCTTTTTAACTCGTATGTGTTAAACTACTATATAGAGTAAACATTCTAACTGTTGAATGTGTAAAGGAGTTAGACAATATAGTTGTGATTTTGCTGTAAACACATTTTATTATATAGCTAGTTAACAGGGGAGCTCCAGTAAGTACACGTAATGTTACGTTTCTAAAGTGGATTTACATAACAGTACACCTTTATTTAAAATGTCTTTTACATCAGGAAGGAACATATTGTATAAGTATTGGAGATGAGCACATCACAACATGAAAAATTCATCTTGAGTGTAAGGTTATGTGTGCTGTGCTATTATGTAGGATAATTCACTGTTGTCAACACTGTTTACATTAGACAAATGTGCTGTAAATAAGGCAAATAAACAAATCTATAAAGTAACTAAACATGATATTTAATGTGTCCCTTATTAGTGTTGATATATTAAGGAACATTTAAGTTGGATAAAAAGTGAGTTAACATATCAACCTCAGCATGTAAATGCAGTGTTGAGCTCGTAATGTGAATCTTGTCTGTATGTTACAGGGACAGGACAACACGTGTGTTTATTCAGTGGAGAGAGGCTCATGATGCTGAATGCTGTCATCAAAGGATTTGTGTGAGTGTACTACAGAAATGGATAACACAATCTATTAAATCTTAAATTGTAGTTTATTTGAATGATTGTAATTTCAAATGGAGAAAATACAACACTTTTCTGATTCCTGATTTCTGTGGATTTGCTGCAGAGCTTTTGTGGTGGAGCAGGACCTGCAAGGAAAGATGATGGCAGCATTTGTTGGGGGAAAAAAGGTTTTAGGGATTTTACTCAAATATAAAGTAAGGTTATTTTTAATACATAAATCAAATGACATTGTGCTATTAAAATGACTGCTTTTGTGTAATGTTTGTGCATTTTTGTAGGATCTGAAATGTCTGCAGACTGGTGTGAGCACTGAGGATGAGGAGCCCAGAGCTGAATCCTGGAAGTGGTGCCATGGATGAGACCCTCCATCTCTCCACCTGCCCTTACGAGATCCTCTGGGTGCTTCTCAATATCCCTCCTCGTCTCCTCGCTCCTCCGTCCTCCCTCCTATGACCCGGAAACCGATCGAGCTCAGCCATCTTGAAGGACATCTCAATTCTCTAATTGCACCGTGAGGAGTCGAGGATCGAGGAGATAGGAGGCTTTCTGAGGAGTCATAAGCGAGGATACACAGGTGCATCCTACGCGGAACTGTTATACTGACTAAACGTGACGCACGTGTCAATTCTCCTCCCCCTTCACATCGGTCACAATCATTTTAATTTATACTTTACCTTTGCAGTTTATATAAACCACACATCTCAAATATTTCAACAGTATAGCCTATCTTTATTATTATGAATTTATTAAATAACCAAACTTCAACATAAGGGCAGATCCTTTTAGCGCTGCTGATGACACTGTGGAGTGACGCTCGAGTGATCAAGTATTCCAATGGATATAAAAAAGCTTTTATTCGATTCCTCTGTCCTCCTTTCCTTTCCTCGCTTCCTTCCCTCGCGTCCTACAGGGGGTGGAGCTGAGACGCAAGGAAAGGAAGCAAGGAAAGGAAACGAGGATGCACAAATAAGAAATGAGAAGCACCCTCTATCGCTCCATCTGCCCTTATTGCCTCAGATTGTGAAGCGCTTGCAGCAGGATGTGGTGTTCAGCGCCTGAAAATACATGCTTGTAGTTTGAATAAAGCTTTGTTTTACAGTATGTGTTGTTGACTTGTATATGCATTTTTTTTGTGATGATTACTTTTATTTGTTCTTTTACTCATTTATTCATGTTTCTTATTGCTGTCAGTATATAAAATATAATTATTTAACTAATGTATGCATTAGTTCATTGATTGACCGACAATTGAGATGTTTCACTGCATTTAGCAATATAAATGTATTCATGCATAACTGTCATATGACAAACCAAATTCCATTTTGTTTGTTTTATTAAATTATATTTTTAGTATATGAAAGTTAGATAGTTAAGTATTGGTCAGTATTTAATATTATTATTTTCTTTAAGTTTTGGGGTGGGCTAACAATGCAATTCATTCTAAGGTAATATTAATTTTTTTAAGGAATGATACATTATTTCGAGTATAAAATCAACAGTTTTCTCCAAAAGAGGTCTTCGACCAGCTGCCCGTCTCCTTTGTACAGGCATTGCGAAACGCAGAGAAAAACTGCTCTAGGTTGTGCTGTCGAGTTGCTGATGTTAAGAAGTGTTAGTGCACCTGTTGCTCTGATCATATCATTTAAACTTATTACATACAACATCATGGAAAGATAACATGTAACAATAATGACAAAACAGAAAATATAAAGATCATTGGTTTGTGTATATCATAATATGACATCATAAAATTATATTTATACACAGGAAAAAATAACAATAACAAGGCTAAATATCTTCATAATAGTTCATAATAGATAAAAAAATTTTGTTTTTTTGTTGTTGTTATAGGCTACATCTGAGGGATGAAACAAGGTAAATTCATCAAGAAAAAGAGGAAAACTTAATGGAGAAAATTTTTGGGGTTTCTTAATAAAAAAAAAATTGTTAAAAGAATAACACTGTTGGTCACATTAGTAGATTTTATATAACAACTTAAATCAACCCTAAATGTAGGCTATTCACAAAATAAATGAGCAGCTGTTTCTTCAACAATACCACAACAAAATGAGCAAGTTTCATCAGTATCAAGATATTTATAGATAGATGAATTAAACGTATCGTTCATATATTTTAAGGCGTTGCGCTTGTGATAACGCGTCGTAGGTCACATGATAACGTCAACATGGCAGATGTCCGGTTCGCATGGATACTCAACGAGATTTGGCTATAAAGTACCTCTTTTAGCGCTCGTTGAGTAAGTACTTATTGAAATTAAGTACCTACTCATTGAGTATGCGATTCCGAACGCAGCCAGTGGGATAAATGCTACGTGGGATCTCAATATGTCAACTCTGGAAGGGTCTAGAGTCTCCATTTTTGCACTCAGGTCTAAGTCCCATGGCCCTCTATCAGAATCCACAGTTTCAAGAAGATTGGAGAAACTTATTTTTTTGCGCAAAAACAAAAAAACGAAAGGGGTACCACTGTCGTTTTTTTTTTTGGGTCGAATTTTTGAGTTTCGATATCTCAGCTCTGGAAGGGTCTAGAGCCTCCATTTTTGCACTCAGGTTTAAATCTCATGGCCCTCTATCAGAATCCAGAGTTTTGAGAAGATTGGAGAAACTACATTTTTCGCCCGAAAAAAAAAAAAACGCAAGGGGTACCACTGTCGTTTTTTTTTTGTGTCGAATTTTTGAGTTTCGATATCTCAGCTCTGGAAGGGTCTAGAGCCTCCATTTTTGCACTCAGGTTTAAGTCTCATGGCCCTCTATCAGAATCCAGAGTTTTGAGAAGATTGGAGAAACTTAATTTTTCGCCCGAAAAAAAAAAAACGAAAGGGGTACCACTGTCGTTTTTTTTTTGGGTCGAATTTTTGAGTTTCGATATCTCAGCTCTGGAAGGGTCTAGAGCCTCCATTTTTGCACTCAGGTTTAAATCTCATGGCCCTCTATCAGAATCCAGAGTTTTGAGAAGATTGGAGAAACTTAATTTTTCGCCCCAAAAAAAAAAACGAAAGGGGTAACACTGTCGTTTTTTTTTTGGGTCGAATTTTTGAGTTTCGATATCTCAGCTCTGGAAGGGTCTAGAGCCTCCATTTTTGCACTCAGGTCTAAGTCTCATGGCCCTCTATCAGAATCCAGAGTTTTGAGAAGATTGGAGAAACTTAATTTTTCGCCCAAAAAAAACAAAAAACGAAAGGGGTACGTACCACTGTCGTTTTTTTTTTTGGGTCGAAATTTTGAGTTTCGATATCTCAGCTCTGGAAGGGTCTAGAGCCTCCATTTTTGCACTCAGGTTTAAGTCTCATTGCCCTCTATCAGAATCCAGAGTTTTGAGAAGATTGGAGAAACTTAATTTTTTGTCCCAAAAAAAACCGAAAGGGGTACCACTGTCGTTTTTTTTTTTGGGGTCAAAATTTTGAGTTTCGATATCTCAGCTCTGGAAGGGTCTAGAGCCTCGATTTTTGCACTCATGTTTAAGTCTCATGGCCCTCTATCATAATCCAGAGTTTTGAGAAGATTGGAGAAACTTAATTTTTCGCCCAAAAACGGAAAAAAACGAAAGGGGTAAGTAACACTGTCGTTTTTTTTTCGGGTCGAAATTTTGAACTTTGATATCTCAGCTCTGGAAGGGTCTAGAGCCTCCATTTTTGCACTCAGGTCAAAGTCTCACAGCCCTCTATCATAATCCAGAGTTTTGAGAAGATTGGAGAAACTTAATTTTTCGCCCGAAAATGAAAAAAAACGAAAGGGGTAACACTGTCGTTTTTTTTTTCGGGTCGAAATTTTGAACTTTGATATCTCAGCTCTGGAAGGGTCTAGAGCCTCCATTTTTGCACTCAGGTCAAAGTCTCGTGGCCCTCTATCATAATCCAGAGTTTTGAGAAGATTGGAGAAACTTAATTTTTCGCCCGAAAATGAAAAAAAACGAAAGGGGTAACACTGTCGTTTTTTTTTCGGGTCGAAATTTTGAATTTTGATATCTCAGCTCTGGAAGGGTCTAGAGCCTCCATTTTTGCACTCAGGTCAAAGTCTCACAGCCCTCTATCATAATCCAGAGTTTTGAGAAGATTGGAGAAACTTAATTTTTCGCCCAAAAACGGAAAAAAACGAAAGGGGTAACACTGTCGTTTTTTTTTTCGGGTCGAAATTTTGAATTTTGATATCTCAGCTCTGGAAGGGTCTAGAGCCTCCATTTTTGCACTCAGGTCAAAGTCTCACAGCCCTCTATCATAATCCAGAGTTTTGAGAAGATTGGAGAAACTTAATTTTTCGCCCAAAAACGGAAAAAAACGAAAGGGGTAACACTGTCGTTTTTTTTTCGGGTCGAAATTTTGAACTTTGATATCTCAGCTCTGGAAGGGTCTAGAGCCTCCATTTTTGCACTCAGGTCAAAGTCTCACAGCCCTCTATCATAATCCAGAGTTTTGAGAAGATTGGAGAAACTTAATTTTTCGCCCGAAAATGAAAAAAAACGAAAGGGGTAACACTGTCGTTTTTTTTTCGGGTCGAAATTTTGAACTTTGATATCTCAGCTCTGGAAGGGTCTAGAGCCTCCATTTTTGCACTCAGGTCAAAGTCTCGTGGCCCTCTATCATAATCCAGAGTTTTGAGAAGATTGGAGAAACTTAATTTTTCGCCCGAAAATGAAAAAAACGAAAGGGGTAACACTGTCGTTTTTTTTTTCGGGTCGAAATTTTGAATTTTGATATCTCAGCTCTGGAAGGGTCTAGAGCCTCCATTTTTGCACTCAGGTCAAAGTCTCGTGGCCCTCTATCATAATCCAGAGTTTTGAGAAGATTGGAGAAACTTAATTTTTCGCCCAAAAACGGAAAAAAACGAAAGGGGTAACACTGTCGTTTTTTTTTTCGGGTCGAAATTTTGAACTTTGATATCTCAGCTCTGGAAGGGTCTAGAGCCTCCATTTTTGCACTCAGGTCAAAGTCTCACAGCCCTCTATCATAATCCAGAGTTTTGAGAAGATTGGAGAAACTTAATTTTTCGCCCAAAAATGAAAAAAAAAACGAAAGGGGTAACACTGTCGTTTTTTTTTTCGGGTCGAAATTTTGAACTTTGATATCTCAGCTCTGGAAGGGTCTAGAGCCTCCATTTTTGCACTCAGGTCAAAGTCTCACAGCCCTCTATCATAATCCAGAGTTTTGAGAAGATTGGAGAAACTTAATTTTTCGCCCGAAAATGAAAAAAAACGAAAGGGGTAACACTGTCGTTTTTTTTTCGGGTCGAAATTTTGAATTTCGATATCTCAGCTCTGGAAGGGTCTAGAGCCTCCATTTTTGCACTCAGGTCAAAGTCTCGTGGCCCTCTATCATAATCCAGAGTTTTGAGAAGATTGGAGAAACTTAATTTTTCGCCCGAAAATGAAAAAAAACGAAAGGGGTAACACTGTCGTTTTTTTTTTCGGGTCGAAATTTTGAATTTTGATATCTCAGCTCTGGAAGGGTCTAGAGCCTCCATTTTTGCACTCAGGTCAAAGTCTCACAGCCCTCTATCATAATCCAGAGTTTTGAGAAGATTGGAGAAACTTAATTTTTCGCCCAAAAACGGAAAAAAACGAAAGGGGTAACACTGTCGTTTTTTTTTTCGGGTCGAAATTTTGAACTTTGATATCTCAGCTCTGGAAGGGTCTAGAGCCTCCATTTTTGCACTCAGGTCAAAGTCTCACAGCCCTCTATCATAATCCAGAGTTTTGAGAAGATTGGAGAAACTTAATTTTTCGCCCAAAAACGGAAAAAAACGAAAGGGGTAACACTGTCGTTTTTTTTTTCGGGTCGAAATTTTGAATTTTGATATCTCAGCTCTGGAAGGGTCTAGAGCCTCCATTTTTGCACTCAGGTCAAAGTCTCACAGCCCTCTATCATAATCCAGAGTTTTGAAAAGATTGGAGAAACTTAATTTTTTGCCCGAAAAAAAAAAACGAAAGGGGTAACACTGTCGTTTTTTTTTTCGGGTCAAAATTTTGAATTTTGATATCTCAGCTCTGGAAGGGTCTAGAGCCTCCATTTTTGCACTCAGGTCAAAGTCTCACAGCCCTC